ATGGATAGACTAACCAAATCGAACCTGAAAGCACAAAAATTATTTTGAATTTAATTCTTTGTAATGAGAGCTCAAGTGTTGCAATAGATAAGCATGTAGGCAAACTTTCTGCTGGAAATAGGAGATTTAAGTGATGTAATTGAGGACAATACCCCTTCAATAGTTGATGATGAAGATGTAAGAGAAATCCCAAAGACCCTACTACCATGGCAATTGAGGATGCACAATCCCCTTGAAGGTCCTTGTGTTTTTTGTCATCTGCTCCCACAAAAGGAGAGTAATGTAGGAAAAATGAAATAATTCTTTCAGGGAGAGTTGCTCATGTTTCGTACATTGTTGTTTTGCTGATTTTTAATTTTATTTGTTGTTTTTGTTAGAAGTCTGTAGTGATTGCAACCAACTTATCATTTTGTAAAGGTTGCCTGTAGCCTTTTATTTATGTTAGCATATAATATTTTAACTCACTCTTGGATTTCTACTTGGATGATTGGGTGTGTGAGTGACTTAATTCCTGGACTTTAATTTTGTGGTACCATATGCCAAAAATAGGGAGAATGTTAAATGGAAATATTTTTTTATTTCTTCTTTCGGCATATGAACAAACTACTCTCCTGCACCTGTTAATGTTAGAACCCAAAAACAACAAAGAGACTCTCTGGCTGCAGACAAACACAGTTTGCAACTGGAATTGAAGCATTTTGTCTCATCTTCTCATTTCGATTCAGAGACAAATTGGATGAATGGGACTAGTCAAATTGATATAAGACATGTGGAGAAACACCCTAGTTCCATATCAGTGCAAAGAGAATTAAATTGGTTTAAATTTCATGGCCAACAAGATGAGTGTAAAACCAGCTTGGAACAAACCAAATTGACAAAGAGCACATTTGAGAGATATTCTAGAGAGAGAAATTATTATTTGAAGCTCTCACTCATGTTGCTTTCCATATCCATATTTTGAAGTGTTTTACACAACAAAAAATCTCCGAAGGAGTTACAGAATGAAGGAGTTATCAGAGATCCAATTGGAGAAGACAACCAACTCAAGAACTACATTACTTTGGGCTTGATGTAGACACTGATGTCAGTATGCATTTGTGATGACTAGTACCTATACAGTAAATGCAAGGCAAGTCTTTATAGAGGATATGAGTTAAGTGAGTTTGTGGTTATTTTGTATTATATTCAATATTGATTATAGTGGATCATCTCATGGATTAGGATCTCCCAGATGTAGGTTGGACTGGGTTACCAAACACCTATCTTATTTATTACTTGGAGTTACATCTTTATTTCATAGACAGGGTGTTGTTATTATTGTGAATTAACCACGCTTCAAAGAATTGACCCTTTTTTGGTGTTCGAAGTTGATTAGTAAAACTCCATTTTTCAACATATATATATCTTATTACAAGTATGGGTCTCCTTTGGCATTGAGCCTTGAGCGGGCACCCATCTCGTCCTTCCGGGCGAGAGCCCGTCTACATCTTACAGTAAACAAAATTACAAACCCAAGTTCCAAAAAGAACCTAAAATTTATTAAACACACTGCACAATCCTTCCGTCAAAAAATAGACCGTCTAATTTTAGAAAATTATATAAAATTTATTTTAAACTCAAATGGGAAATGAAATCTAAAACATACATATACATCTTAAAGGAAACAAAAATATAAAATAACACCCCAAGAATAACATAAAATTTGTCAAACACACTATACAGACTTTCCACCAAGAATTAGAGCATGTAACTGTGTAAAATCATATAAAATCCAACTTTTTTTCGAATAACTTATATGATATGCCAATTCAAAGCTAAAATCATGAAAACTGAAAATAAGATGAAAAAACAATCAGTCTGTTCACTCAACATTTATCAATAGAATAATTCCCTATAAATATTATTAGAAAATACAAATATACACACACATTAATATAATACATATATCACCCACTCATAAAAATTCAATTATTCAACACAAAATATTATTTTTTATATTACCAATACAGTTCTCATACCACACACAAAAAATCAATTCATCTAAAACGCTGAGTGACCAGACTGAATATGTATGTTCGTAGTTTATACAAATAAAATAACTTAAAATAATGTACAAAAATTATAAATCGAGCTTTAATAGCATACAAGAAGAAGATCAAAAAACTTAGTCCAAAATTACTTCAAACTTGATTGGAAGAGTAAAAGAGGCGGGCCATGGTTTATTAGGAGTGTTTGGAGAATAAAATGAATATGGAACATAAGTTTATATTTAAAATTCAAATTAAAAATGTTGTAGCTCTTTTATTTTTTTATTTTAATTTTTTATAACAGTGTTTTTCTAATTATTATAAACATTATTTTTAAAAAGCAAACCCTTAGTTATTGTTTTTAGCTATAACTTTTTCATTTAATATTTGATTGACTCCTCCTTTATGGCGGAGGATTGTTAATTCAAATTTTCATCTAAATGTAAAATTGGTGGTGGATATGGTGCTGAATTTAAAATTATGTGCTGAATAGTTTCCAATATATTAATACACAATACAAAATATTAATATTGACAGTACACCATTTTTATTAATATATATAATACAAATACAACCTATGAACTAATATCACATGATATAGTCAACACAATACATGCAACAATTGATTTTAACAAATAACATACTCTTATACAGTACACATTGTAATTATGAACAAACATCGCATATTTTCATTACAAATAGCATATATTGTGTATGATAAAGACGTGTTATTTCTATATTTTACGTGTGCTATTTTGGAAAATCCAATTTCAACACCATAACTCTTCCCCATAAAATTTGAGATTAATTAGATTAATACACAATTTATGGTGATTTTGTTTTTTCATACATGAATGAGATAGCTTTCTATTCGAATAGGCATATCTCTTTTACACGACTTTCAATCGATTCTTCGTCAGTGATATTGAAAACTCAATTACCTATCCAATTAGACTAAATTCACTAGAAATGAATAAAAACTAAAAAACCTATGTTCATTGAAAGTGAAGACAGTTGAAACGCTCGTATCTATTAAAGCCTAATGAGACAATTCATTTATATGTAGGATATTATAGATCCTTTGGGCTAAAAATTCTTTAGGTAATCTCTCCATTACTACTATGGATTGAGGGCAACAATTATTTCTAAATAAGCTACCAGGGCTGGTTCTGACTTTCGATGGGCCCGGGGCGAAATAAAAATTAGGGGCCCTTAAATATATATATATATATATAATATTTTTTTTACCTATAATAAAATATAAATAATAAAAAAACTTTTTTTTAGTATTTTTATGCAAAAATATCAATAATAATAATAAGACAAAATTATTCATAATTTCCATATAGTTTTGAAACTTAGCATAAAATTTTTATGTATTTTAAAAATAGTGTGACGTCCCTTTATACTTTAACAAATGTTATATGAAATCCACACCATAAAAAAAAAGATAGACGAGAAATCATCTTCTCATCATCCAAAAAATATAAAAATGAGTTTTATTCAATAATTTTGAAAGTATAAGAGGATGTCATGCAATTTATAAATTATAAAGAGGATTTACGCTAAATTTCAAAACAACAAGAGAGTTATTGACAATTTTGCCTAATAATAACAATTATAATAATCATTTTGTCTAATATTTATTTTCTTCTTAATGCAAAAAAATAATAATAATAAAAAACCTTATAAATGATATACTCCCTCCGTCCCTTAATAATTTATTCATTTTTCTATTTTAATCCTTTCTATAATAAAGTATCAATTTTTTTTTTTTTTTTTTTTAGTAACGGTACTTTCTGCTAACATTGAAAATACTTTTACAATTTACAATATATTACAGAAATGTCATTACATTTATATCACAAAATACTAATACTAATAATAAGGTTATATTAGCATTTTCTATTTTATTCATACCACACCTCAATTGATAGATAAGGGATGATGAAGTATATATATATTTTTACCTATAATAGAATTCAAATAATTAGATAAAATAACTTTTTCTAGTATTTTTAGATAAAATATCAATAATAGTAGTAATATTAATTTTGTCTAAATAATATTTATAAATAATATATTTTTTATCTATAATAAAATATAAACAATCAAATAAAATAAAAGTTCTAACAATTTTATATGCAAAATATTAATAACAGTATTAATTAATATTAACTTTCACTACAAATAAAATTTATATTTGTAACGGAATTCCGTCTCTAATGTTCACGTAGCTAACGTAATTCCATTCATAATTCCGTTTCTAATGTCATTAGTAACGGAAAAAGTAGATTTAAAAACAAAAAATTTTTGTTACAAAAATAATTTTTTCTTGTAGTGTTTGTGTAATGCATAAAAAAATATTTTCAAATTTTGAGGATACATGGGTTTGAACCCAAAACTTCATAAGTAGTACATGTAACTGTCAAGCCATATTCCTCTATTAATATATTAAAATCAAATAATATGTATATAGAAATAGTTTATATATAACATAAATATATAATGGGCCCCTATTGAGATTGGGCCTGGGCGGGCGCCCCTCTCGTCCGGGCCCATGGCCGGCCCTGTCAGCTACACATTTTAATTAACTCAAAATTGAGGGTGGAGAATTGATGATCAAAGGTGAGCTTAAAGTGCAATGGGTCATAAACAAACTTGTTTTTCAAGATTGGTGATGAATTCAATAAGAGTTTGAAAGTAATGATGATGATGTTCATGCTCATATTGGTAAAGTATGTGTGTGGTGTGTGTGTGTGTGAAATGATAAATATGGGCAATGCCATAGCTCCAAGCAAGAGCAAGTGCAAGTGGGAATGCATGTCCCCATCATTTCTATTCATCATTTCCCGTTGTCTCATACCAGACATGTACCCATTCTTCTTTCCACCAATATATATATATATATACATATTCTATATATAATTCATTTGCTTAAACTAATTCCAAAAGAGATATTTCCAAAACAAGAGGGGAATCGAATTAATAACAAAGAGCAAACTGTCTCGTGACTGACATATGCACTTTCTTCGTCTTTTCTAATTAATCATCAGTGCCCCATTTCTTCGTCTCTCTCCTACCTCTCATCATCGTTGTCTTGACTCTACATAAGCACACTAGCTACTCTACTTTCTTTAAATACAGTATTTATAGAGAGAGAGAGAGAGAGAGCGAGAGAGAGAGTTGGGGAAGGGGGTTGTCATTCTATATCTCTATCTATACACAAATTAAACAGCAAGAGATATGTATAGCTATAAAAATTATAATGGTGCTGGTGCAGGTGATGTGAAGGGTATGGTAGTTATGGTAATGGTGTTAATGAGAGTGGCAGTGGCAGTGACGCCGGAGCAGCAGCAGATGGCGGACAGAGTCGAGCAGCTGCCGGGGCAGCCGGCCGTCAAATTCAAACAGTACGCCGGGTATGTGACGGTCAACAACACCCACGGGAGAGCACTGTTCTATTGGTTCTTTGAGGCCACTACAAACCCTCACAACAACCCTCTCCTCCTCTGGCTCAATGGAGGTAACTAACTAACTACTAACTACTTAATTAATTCATTCATTCATTGCTCGTCATCTCTCATCATCATCGACATTTCGTTCCTTTTCATATTTTAATTATGGCGGCACCTACAATGCAGAATTTTTAAATTCAACACTGTACTGACAATACATCGCAGCACACGGTGTTACTACCAGTATCACACCGTCTGCATTTATATAATACAAATACAGAGCATAAACTAACAGCACATTCTATACTCTTATACATTACAATCAATACTTGATTTCAGCAGACCACGTACTGTTATACAACACACTTGTAATTATAAACCAACAACACGAATACAACACATGAACTGACAGACAACACATGCTATAGTTTTATACAACACAAATACTAATTGGTTTTACCACACCACATACTGTTATACAACACGCTATGCTATAATTATGAAGCAACATCACATGTCATTGCTATACACAGCATGAGCTGTGTATAATAAGACTGTGTGTTATTTGTATATATTACGGTGCTGATTTTTCCATTTCAGCACATAACCGTTCCCTTTAATTATATATATAAATGTTTTATATGTGTCGGTCCCATCCCATGTGACGTTTACAATGGCGATGAATTTGTAAATGAGATGAGATGGGTTTAATTCATTCATTTAGGCCAGCCTGGCTGACCTCAATTAATATCAAATTTCAAATATTATTATTTATTGTACAAATAGTAAATATATCTTTATTCTATACAAATGAACTAAATATACCTCATCTTAAAAATTGACTAATCCATTATTTTTTTTAAAGAAAAACGAAAAAATTATTTTGGAGTTTGACCGATCAAATTTCTCAGTGGTCCTAATTGACTGAAGGAAAAGTGAATATCGTTTCTACAGTATGAGATATTATGTAGTCAAATATAAGTTAATTAAAATAGTTAGTGTAATAAAGTATTTAAATGTCCCTCCTACATATTACAACATATATGTATATGTATACAATTTTTTTTTTTTTTTTTTTGTTAATGATAATATATTATCAAAATATGTTTTTATTGCTAACAATATGATTATTAAACCCTCCATCTAGAATGCTGAAAGACTGATGACTCATTTTAGGTGTGTGCTTCTAATCTAAAAGAATTAATAATATTAATATATGTATATAATACGACAAATATACTATAATGGATATATATATATATATATATTTATATGATGTACTCGTAATTGTAAGTAATTAATATCTCTTGGAAGTATTGATTAGGTGAAACGTCAGTGTCCTAAATAAATTTAGCACCGCAGTTTTAGTCAATGATTGTTTCCTATCAATTCGTGAATATTGTTGACCAATATCTAATTTAATTTTCGTTTTGTGCTACATACGTACATGAACTAGTTTTCACATTAATTCATAATCGATTTCGTTATGAAAATTGAGAGAAATAAAAAAAAGAGAATTTAATTATTATTCTCCATTCGATACTTATTTACAACAAATACCATTAACTTTATTACATTCTCTCTCTTCATTTACTTTACTTTTTAATTAAATTTCCGAAAAATATTTTCAACTATCTATCATTTTTTTAATAAAATATTTATTTTTCTTACTTCCCGTGTCGGGCCCAAATGGCCTAATTTTAATGGACGTAGGGAGTATAGCACAAAAATTTGGTAACTCGGTTTCATTAGAAAGATCTAGTTCTGGGGGCGCTGTCAAGCCAATAATTTTACTATAGAAATACACAAACACACGTTAAAATAAGAATACATGGATATTTATAGCATAACAAATCCTAGTATCATGTCAATCATATCTCTAAATTTATGATATAATATCCAAATCATATCCCTAAAGTATAATAAGGGTTTCACATCACAACAATTTTCTACTTGAAGACTGATTACATCTCTCGTAATCACATTACACTTCATTGGCAATGACAGCGCCAAGCCTCATTCTTCACTCATCGAGGGCAATTGAGGTTAAATACAACATCAATTCATATAAGGTCACCACCTTAGGTTATCTTCCAAGATTGCTCATAAATCGACTCACTACTCCTACTGCACGTGTTTTCCACCTCGTAAAGGTATCAAAAGCATCATATTTATGCTTAAGGAAATATACTCATACCTAATTTGTAGCATCGTCAATGAACATGGTGTAGTACTTTGAGCCCCAAAGGGTCGATACAGGAGTTGGTCCCCACAAGTTCGTATGGACCAACTCCAACTTTTCCTTTTCCGGGTCTCTTCCACTCTTTGACAAAGCCACCTTTCGTTGCTTCCCAAAGATACAGTCCTCGTATACTCCAATATCAACATATTTGAGACCTGACAATCTTTCCTTCGAAACAAGCTCCCTTGTCCCCTTCTCGCCCATGTGTCCGAGACGAGAATGCCATAAAATTGTGTCATTATTTATGATCATGGAACTAATTCCATCTCGCATGCCTTGTCATGTAAAGTTCCATCTCTTCTCCCTTGAGCCACCACAATGGCTCCCTTGGTTACCTTCCACGAGTTAGTTTCTAAACTTGTCGAGTAATCTGCCTCATCCAATTGTCCCATGGAAATCAGATTCCGTTTCACACCCGGAATAAGCCTCACCTCATTCAATCTCCACTCCCCACCATTCGGTGTTCTGATTCGAACCATCCATTTACCTACAATTTTTAGTATCTCGTCATCTACAAGATAGACAACACCAAAATTACATGCGGTATAGGATTTCATGATTTCCGAATCACTGCATGAGTGGAATGACGTTTCTGAGTCCAAGATCCATGACTCCATTTGACTATTGACGCACAAAATCAAAGCATCGGATATTTCCTCTGCTGTGTTTCCGAAACCCTTATCCTTCCCTACCCACCTTGCACCGCCTATCACAAAGGGACTTGTTGTTTAACCTAGTACAACTATCGGAACCGACTGAACACCGACATTCAAAATATATGTTATATATTGTATTATTAGTTCACGTCGAATATGAATTGTTTTCCTTATATACATTAGTCAGCATTGGAATCCAAACATAAATAGGATCATGGGTTTGATATTTCATGCCATTCATTTCAATTCGTTATTTATTTATTTAAATTACAATACTAATTGAAAAGTGTAATGTATATATATATATATATATTTAAGTTTCAATAATAATATATTCATTAAATTTAAAAATAGATAGTAACAATAATTTTATAAATGGATTTTTTTTAGGTCCTGGTTGTTCGTCCATTGGCTATGGACAATCAGAAGAGTTGGGGCCATTTTTATCTCAAAAGGGTAAACCTGAGCTCAAGCTCAACAAAAATGCATGGAATAAAGGTATTTAAGGCTTTAATTATTTTCTTTAGATTAAATTGGACAAAATTCACCCGTGGTTTCACGAAATTGCATTAAATTCCCCATATTTTTAAAAATGCGTCAAACTCCCTCGTGATTTCATAAACTCTGCATCTAACACCCTTGGTGGTCCTTATTTAACGGTATTTGACATAAGTGCGCCCAAATTGCGAATAAATTTTAGAATCTCAATTTCTAAACCCCTAAAATTACAAATATATTAATTTTTCTTATATTTAGCCTCAAAACCAGTAAAAATAAGCTCTTAAAACCTGAGAAAAATAACTATTTTGAGTATATTTACTATTTTTTGAGGCTAAATATAAGAAAAATGATTATATTTGTAATTTTAGGGGTTTAGAAATTGAGATTCTAAAATTTATTCGCAGTTTGGGTGCATTTAAGTCAAATACCGTTAAATAATGACCACCGAGGGGTTAGACGCAGAGTATATAAAACCATGAGAAAATTTGACGCAATTTTAGAAATATAGAAAATTTCACGCAATTTTATGAAACTATGTACAATTTAGCCTTTCTTTAGTATTTTGGAATAATCCTATTTTCTTATATTTTTAATCCAATCAGTTAATATTTTTCCTCTCATTCCTTTCCATCAGCGGCCAACTTACTATTTTTAGAATCACCAGTCGGCGTTGGGTTCTCATATACAAATACAAGTAGTGATATTAAACAACTTGGTGACAATATTACAGGTAAACTATTGAGTGAAAACCATGATATATTTACTTCTTAATTAATTTTCTTAACACAACCAAGATTTTTAATTATAATATAATATGAGTACATTTTTTTTTGTCTCTTTAATTATTTGTATTATTATTTATTTATTTATTTTTTTCTATGAGTTATCAGCTGCAGATTCATATAATTTTCTCGTGGGATGGTTTCAACGATTTCCTCAATACAAATCGCACGACTTTTACATTGCAGGGGAAAGCTATGCAGGTAGACATTGCGAATTTGATATGCATAGATGCTTGATTATTACTTCTTTTATCGTATAATGTCATATAATTACATTTTGGTATAATAAATAATAAAACTTTTATTTTGAATTGAAGTTTAAATATAGCGTGATGTTTATGAATATATATATTTATATATATAGATATATATACACATGTTGGAACTTAACCCTAAGTTTAGAATCTATCGTGTTGAAATAATTGATATAATAAATAAAGCAATTTAATCTAACCCGATTTCTTAGGGCACACATATTTGAATCTACAAATTGATAGAGGGTTATGTGCTCTTCAAGCTTATGGCACAACCCCTCTCTAAAAAACCGCTATGATTTCTGCCGTTACTTTCATGATGAGATATGAAAAGTAATGGACGATGCGCCTAGACCTCGGATCACAATCCTAATTTATATCTCTTATTATTAATCGGCTTCATCACTCAATTAATAAGTTACTGGGTTTCTGCACATAGGAGGTCCGCAATTACTAAATACAATTAAGCCCAATAAATTAATAGATCACTTAATATAGGCTTAATCTGACTGATAGCCCAAATAGTTACATTTAACCCACAATTGAATTTTTAATCTAACAATCTCCCACTTAGGTAAATGTACGCTGAATAATCTTACGAGCTCATGAATATTTTGCTATCAGATCCTTTGATGTATTTTACCAATTTTATCTATAAATTACATCAATGCGGATCAAAGAGGCCATTACTGCATTTATCGCAATGAGACCAATAAGTGGTCACAACATCAACATAACTTAAGATTCGATCAAGTGCGGATGCACAACATAGAAGTTTCATATAATGTGATATTAACATGCCTATTTCCAACTGATCCACTTAACTTTAATTTAGAATAACTGAATACTGAACAATGCATATTGAATACTGCAGTATAAAAAAAAAAGTAACTTTAATAGCATTTGAACACTACCAATCAGCTCTCACTAAACCGAAATATCAAGATATGTATCTAGTCTCATACGAGTAACATGCTCACTATAGAACTTATGTTGAAACCCTTTAGTAATTAAGTGGATTCGTAATCATGGAAGTTGCACGAATATGTTCAATAACTAATTCATAATATGAAGTCAGACTATTAAGAAAATGACAATTATCATCATCAAATAATGTACTAGTTTCAACCAATTTTGAATTCTGGAAGAGACTAAAAAAATTTATTCCGAATACAATAATAACTCAATTTGTTCAAAATAGAGATCGAAATTGAATTTCGACTAAAGATGGTACCATAAAAAATATTTCATCTAAAGTCAAGTAATAATAACCAGTACTTAATAATAATAATCTAAAATTGCTAGTTGCTTTAATTTGAACTTTCTTGCTGTCACCCATATATATGTATCTTTCACCACCATTTGATTTTTGGCAATAAAAATAATCTTACATAGACACATTGATTTAATTGTTACACCAAAATGCACCCCCGGGTGTGTCTATGAACTCAAATTAAATTAATTTCAAGAGCAAGACCAATAGGACAAACATATCATCCGAAAGGTCTAACTTAAGTGCCCTTAGTTTAATAGCAATATTAGACATGTTCAGGATGTACTCTCTTATGTTATTTTTTTTGTTATACTTTATGGTAATGAGACTCTTAAGAAGAGTACTCATTTCCGCCTTATTGCTTTTGGTAAAACATTTCTCAATTTCGACAAAGAATTCATTGACGGTAGTGATATAATCAGATATCGTGCCTTCGAAAAATTTATGGAGTACTTTTCTTAATGATCATCAGACTTAGGCGATGGATCTATCTCACTTCTCAATTAATTGTTTTTCATCTGTAGTGTTTTTCATTGTATGAGTGGATTAGTCTACTGTTAATGCCAAGTCAAGTTTCAAGCAACCAAATGAATCAATATTGATTCTTTTCAGTGTCTAAAGTTGTCTTCATGTAGTATTGAAACCGGAAAGATATACACATGAATATTTATGAATCATAATGAAGCTCAATAGTAATGCATTCTCATTCCAAGACAATAAGTGCAACATCAATGATCAATCTTTGAATCAATAATATTGACTGCTAGCAATCATCTTGTTGCAATAATCATATACGTACAATAAGTAATGTCAAATAGTAAACCAATCTTTGGACTAATTCACTATTCACATAAGTTAACTCTATATAATTATCCCATACATATTATCGCAAATGTATATTTCATTCTGTCAATTATCAACTGCCTTTGGGCCGAAAAATAATTACATGGATTAAAATATACATAAACATTTACGTTATCAAGTAAAAATCTCATATAAGAGAGGTTACTTTGACAACGTCAAATACTCGGTCTTCACCGTCAAAACGCAAAAAGCATTATTAATGAATTTATAATTTTCTTAAACTAAATTATAATCATAATTACATTCAATGTATATGAGTTCGATTCCATAAAAAATAAAAGAATGTTTATTATCAGCTGAATGAATATGCCTATAAGCTATTGAATGCTTCGCATGTGAATTTATAAAATAAATTAGTAATCTTATCGCAAGTTACCGAGCAACATCAGCAATTGCCGTCGGACAAATTACTGACTCACCAGTGATAAACTTGTTTTGACAATTAAATATTGAAAATAAATTAGTGTGTCAAAAAAATATTTCATATTTGGACAGATCTATTATTCAGACACAAATAACACAAACTATTATCACCATATTCAATGTCATTAAACGTGCATGTAACTATTTAATCGCTGACTTGCCTTTGGGTCAATCAACAGCACTATAAGTCACGCACACAACCTTCTAATATATAAAATAAACTGACTTACACAGCAGAAGCTGCTTTGGCAATATAACTGTTTCAACCAATTCATAAAATATATTATACTATTATTTATTGCTAATTAAATTCACCTCAAAATAAACGATGTATATTAATACATATGAAAGCTATAACAACGGAAATTAATTTCTAAACTCATTAATATAATCAAGTAGTCTAGAAAGTACTAAATGCATCGGAATTATATACAAAATATGCCACCCAAAGAGATTATAAATTAATACACAAAATAATTATAGTCGAATTTGAACATATGTATACTATATAAAATATACGCTACTATATCCCAAGATTAATTGCATCATTAAAAAGGTCAGAATTAATCTGATTTAATAATAAATAAATTATGCACGTATTAAATCTAACTGCAGATACACTAACATATGCATATTAATAAATTTTGCAACCATGAAACTGGATGCATATATATAAACTGAACGTCAATCTCGATGCAAACGATTGACTAAATAAATAAATTAATTCAACCATGAATTAAGACATAATCCTTAATTCAAAAATAAATAAATAAAAATAAGCAAAGGCCTCGTATGCATATCTGAATCTATAAAATCCAAAGGAAATTAATTGATCGAATCCTAATAATTAGTACTTTAGAATCTAACACCATACCTTATCTTATTTCAAAAAATTATTTATTAATCCAAAAATAAATGGATAAAAAAATAAATAAAAATACATACAATTAATGCATTCAAAACACAGTCATACACGCATGTATGCATTAGTTTAATAACAACTCAGTTGTTACATGTTAATTAATCCAAATAATCACAAACAAATAGACCAACGTGGCATGGTTGATCCTTCTAATTCAAAATGAATTAGCTGCTTTCCGTCGATGCAGGCAGGAAACAATTTAATTCCGTTGACTAATCAATATATATATCCGTGTCGTCCCTTCTTGATTCGTACTGAATCCGACATATTAATACATCTAACAAGATATCTCAATAATTCAACACAGCATGATTCTGCCAATTGTTGGAGCTTATCAGCAATTAAACCTTAAGTTCAGGATCTATCGTGTTGAAATAATTGAGATAATAAAATAAAGCAATCAAATCTAACCTGATTTCTTAGGGCACGCATATTTGGATCTTCAAATTGATTGAAGGTTTTGTGTTCTTCAAGCTTATGGTGCAACCCCTCTTGAGAACACCGAAAGGGTTTATGCCGCTACTTTCATGATGAGATATGAAAAGTAATGGACGATGCGCCTAGATCTGAGATCACAACCCTAATTTATATCCCTTATTATTAATCGGCCCCATCACTCAATTAATAAGTTATCGAATTTCTACACATAGGAGGCCCACACTTACTAAATACATTTAAGCCCAAAAAATTAATAAATTATTTAATATATGCTTAATCTGATTGATAGCCCCAATAATTGCATTTAACCCACGACAACACAAACAAAGGAGAAGAAGATGCAAAGGATATTAACTTTCAAGAACAGAAAATATATATGAAAAATGTGTAAAGTCAAATACATGGGAATTGATCAACTGCTCATCCGGTCAAAGTCAACATAGTGTTGATTTGACTGTGCTACAAATATAATCAACATATATTTATATATATCATGATATTTATAATATAGCATATGTTATGTTATACTTTAGCATAGATTCTATTGTAACTATAGTTGTACCATGCGTAAATATATGCCGGTGATGACCACCACTACAAAAAAATAATATATTTGTAACAGAATTTCGTTCCTAAAGTTCACGTAGCTAACGTAATTTCATTCATAATTCCGTCTCTAATGTCATTAGTAACGAAAAAAGTAGATTTAGAGACAAAAGTTTTGTTACAAAAATGATTTTTTCTTGTAGTGCACGAGATCCACAACCCATATATATATAAGATATAAAATTATAGTTTTTTTTTTTCATATATAATGTTTTAAGTTTTACAAAAATCATTTCATGGTTGTATGTGTAAATTACTATCAAATTTTACTTTTTGTAACACTATTAAATATATTGTGTTATTTAATATTATAGGGCACTATGTACCTCAGCTTGCAGAGGTGATAGTAGAGAAGAACAAATATATGGCAAATGAGGACTATATTAACCTCAAAGGGATTATGGTATGTTTTCTAAAATAGTTTTTAATCTAATTATCTTGATGGTGAAAATAAAATTTTTAACTATTTAAATAAAATTGAATATGACTAATTAATATAAATATGATTTCAACAAAATAATTATCTTATTTAACAAAATTACATGAATTTGTGATAATTATTTGGTTGATTATGACTATATTTTATTTTTTACATTGTCCATCTTTAAAATTTTCTACTAACAATAGAAAATAGAAAAAAAAAAATGGCGAATGATGCATTAACCGACAGATAGGGAACGCTTTGTTGGATGATGAGACAGACCAAAAGGGCCTCATCGAGTATGCTTGGAACCATGCAGTTATATCAGACAAGTTGTACGAAGAGTTGAAAAGCAATTGCGATTTTAGTCTAAAAAATGTAAGCCAAGGGTGCAAAGATGCAATGAATAAATACTTTGCCGTGTATAAGTTGATCGACATGTATAGTTTGTACGTTCCTAAATGCGAAAATAGCAACATCACCAACACTTCCCGACCCTTCCCAGACATGAGATATATAGCCAACTATGTAAGTCTCGAATGTACATAATTTCAATTAGTTTTTATAAATTTATTGTCGTAATAAAGTTAAATTATGGTAATTGTATGAATTATGTTTCTATAGGATGGATGGCATGTGAGGGCATTGGCAGGTTATGATCCTTGTATATCAGATTATACTGAAACATTTTTCAACAGGCCTGATGTTCAAAAAGCATTGCATGCTAACGTTACCAAAATTCCTTATAAATGGACACATTGCAGGTATGTATATTTTTGTTTCAATTTTTGTGACTTACATGAGCTTATAATTATTATTTTTATCTTTTATGTGTATATATATATATATATAAGATAAAAATTAGGTTCTAACTGTTCATGTAAATATTGAATGATTCAAACAATATGTGACAATCATGTAAGCGAGTAGCCCAAAATTGAAAAAATGTTCTGCCAAGTCTTTGTAAAGAAATTTCGAAAAACCTCCTATTCCAGTTTATTTGATTTTCTTGTAAAGTTGAATTTATGTCTCTACTGGATTTCTTTAGAATTTCTCTATAAGCATTTTGCAAATCGTGTTACGAAAAGAAATACTTCGCCTTTCCATTTTTAATTTTCCTCGCAGCTTTATAATGTCACAAAATATATATATTTTTTTCTATACCATATTGCAATATGACATACTCTTGAGTTTATAAATAAATTATTAAGTCTTTTTCATTTAAAATATTTACTATTCAATGCTCTTAAAAGCACCTTAATTATAACTCTTCCATGCTATTTTAACTACTACAATTCTTTTGATAAAATGAAGTATATTTTACTTGTACCAATTATAGTCTTTCTCAAATTTCATAAGTTTATTGCAAATGAATACTATACTTATTATCAAAGTAATAAATTGTATGTAGAGTACAATGAAATTGTTCTGAATTGAGAACAAAATAGAGTGCAATGAACAAATCTTATATTTAGCTTATCAAAGAAAATTCTATACATGTATGTGCACCATTGATTGATAGCCTCGAATGTATGCATACATTTTTGCAGTGACAACATCACATCTTGGGGCGATGCGCCAATGTCTATGCTCCCTACCATTAGGACACTGATTGCAGCAAAACAACGTATTTGGATATTTAGGTACAACAAATCTAAATTCATTTACACAAAATTCATATATATTTTTTTTCATATTTTTTATTCACAATGAATGATTTGCCGCAAGCAAGCTTACATAGATATTGAACGAAAGGAAACTTCTCGTTTTCCATTATCAGTGGAGATACAGATGGAAGAATTCCAGTGACATCAACTAGATATACTTTGAAAAAATTGGCATTAAATATCACACGAGACTGGACGCCGTGGTACACTGATAATAAACAGGTAGCATTTTTTGTTGGTTTGTTGGTGTGTATATATAAGAGGAGTAGGTATTTTGTAATTATATACACCCAATTATTATTCTTTAGCTCTATCTTATTTATTTATTTGTTTTTCTTAGAATTTTACTATGCTATATGATTAGCAAGATCACAATAATAAATGTGTGTTATATAGGTTGGTGGTTGGACAGTGGAATATGAAGGATTGACATTTGTGACGATAAGAGGTGCCGGTCATGAAGTTCCTTCGTTTAAGCCAAGACAAGCACTTCAGCTGGTAAACCATTTTCTCAAAGATGAAAGACTTCCCTCGACGCCATATTGATTTTTACTAATTGCTCTATTGAAGTATTTTCAAGCGCTAAATCTTACATTATTTAAACTTGCAAACTTTTATGTTCAAATTGATTACGGCAAGATATATGAAGCAAATATATAGTTGTCGTACTCATTTCTAATTGTGTGAGGGGGCTTTCAAAAAATGGATATCGAATTTTTCTTGAATGAAAAATAAAGAATAAAGTAGTTCAACACATGTATAGAAATACTATAGTTCATCTCCAACACTTTGTGTATTTTGACATTTTTTTTCCCAACAAAATAGTAGATCATAAGAGTGACGCATATATCCGTGGTTAGTTTTCAAATTTGATTACTCTAGTATTTGTATTTCTTTAGATATCAATTAAGTGAAATAGATAGCGAATGTAATATTTTTGGAGAGAAAATAGATATTAATTTTTCCCTACATGACACTTTTAGTTGTTTAGTGAATGTATGGAAGAAAAAGGTAGAAGAAAATTGGTTGTTGGATGCAATATGTTTGGGGAAATATAAAAAACACTATGAGAACAAACATAAGGCAAAAAATAGAAAAAACGATGTCAACTGTGATATTTTTAAGAGAAATTACAAAAACACAAAGGTGTTTGTTTTTTTTTTTTTTTTAAATAGAAACATCACCTTTCAAATGGGGGTTGAGGCGGAACCCCAACCTTATATACCACGAAACAACTAAAAGTGTCATGTAGAAAAATACAAAACATAAATGTTGGTCGGAAGGTGTAATGAACACTAAACTACAAAAATAACATGTACTAAAAACATACCAGCTATACAGGAGAAATAAGTCGTATCTAAAAATCCAACTATCAACTCGAGTCGAAATATAATCCAATAAAAACTAAATTTGGAAGTCCATCAGCATCAATGCGAATAATACCTCTAAGATGTCCCGATACATCGGGAGAAGCCAACAACATCATTGATCTGGAGATGCAAGCCTAATCTTCAATAAAATTTGCCACACCATTACCTTCCCGGTGGATGTGAGAAATTCTCCAAGTGACATTCCAAAGAAGGATCTTGATCCTCGAAATTGTTCCTTGAAGACTTCAATGTGCGGCTGATGATGAGATCAAGTGAATGCTAGACATCAAATTTGTTTCAATCCAAAGTGTGGTGAGGCAGATATTGATTACCAAAGTAATGTTGTGAAGGATAGCACTAAGCTTGGTGAAGGTGCAAGTCAAAGCATCAATTGCCACTTAGAAGGCAACAACGGTGGCGCCTTGATGATCCCAATTTATTTTTTGAAGCACTATCTCTGTTAAGCTTAAATCAATCCAAACTTGTCTTTTTCCAAAAAAATCATCTCCAGAATTGTCGATCAGGTGATGAAAATAGATTCCAAGTTGATTTCCAATATCTAAATTTCCAATCCAATATCTCCTTTCAAGAATGGCACATGTATGGAGTACATGTAAGCGATTTCAAACTCAATACTACGGTGTTTTGCATTTTTTTTTTTTGTTCAAATGAATCAAAATATCTGTTGAGAATAAGTTTAATTAATGGTTGTGGGGTTAGTGGTGTTGAAGTTACGAGTTGTTTGAAATTCTATTGACTAGAAATTAAGTTGTATTTATATTTTGTAACTTTTTGTTTTTAATATGCTATTATTAGGATGTCATGATAATGGAATGAAAAAAAAAAAAAAAAAACAGAGCATCGAACAAAAGATTTCTTAAATCCAGTGCATTTTTATATCTTGTGGAAAGAACCAGATATTAACAGATTGGTATCAGAGCCAATATGAGTTCCAACAGTCCGATAAAGATGATGGTTCCACGGCTAACAAAATCAAATTATGAGAATTGGAGTTTTCATATGCGTGTATTGCTTGGAGCCAATGATGCATGGGAAGTGGTCTAATCTGGCTATGAAGAATCAGAAAGAGTTGATGGGTTAACAGCAAATCAACTGAAGGTATTAAGAGAAACACGCATAAAGGACAAGACTGCTCTCCATTTTTTATTTCAAGCTCTCGATGAATATGAATTTGAAAAGATTTCTGATGCGAAATCCTCCAAAGCATGGGGCAAGCTGGAAAAATATTTTAAAGGAGCCGATAGGATGAAACAAGTGCATCTCCAAAGCCTTCGCAGTGAGTTTGAAAGCATGAAGATGAAGGAATCGGAAAGTGTGTCCGAATACATAGCCCAGGTGCAAACTGTGGCAAATCAGCTTAGGAGAAATGGTGAGATGCTGGATGATACTCGATCGGTGGAGAAAATAGTACGATCCCTCACGGATAAATTCGATAACATTGTGTGTGCAATTCAAGATTCAAAGGACATTGCAACCTTGACATTAGATGAGCTTTCCGGGTCTCTTGAAGCTCATGAGCAGTGGAAAAAGAAAAAAAGTGATGAGACACTCGAGGAAGCCCTCAAAAGAAAAGCATCTTTTAAAGATGATAAGGCGTTGTTGTCTTCTCAATCTCGTGGACAAGGACGTGGTCGGGGTGGTCACAGCACTAGAGGCCATGGTCCAGGAAGATATCAAAAAGAAAATGAACAATCCAACTCACAAAACTGGAGAGGTCGAGACGTGGTAGAGGATACAAGACAGTCGAATGCCATAACTGTGGAAAGCATGGCCATTTTGCGAGAAATTGAAATCCCAATAAGTGCCATAACTGTGGGAAAGTTGGACATTATGCAAGAGATTGTTGGAGCAAGAAAAAGGTGGAAGAGAACAGAAATCTTACAATTGAAGATGAAAACGAGGAGAATGAAGGAATCCTCATGATGGTGCAAAATAACTCCAACGAGGACAATGGCATGACATTGTATCTCAACACGGGTGCAAGAAATTACATATGTGGCTTGAAACACCAATTTAAAAATTTTTGAGAGGCTAAAGGTGGCTACTTATCTTTTGAAGATACATAAAAAATTCGAGTTGAAGGGCAATGTACAATTTGCTCATGCAGAACGATTTGGTAGGAACAATTGAAGATGTTTATTATGTGCCGGATTTAAAGAGTAACATTTTGAGTGTGGGTCAACTTATGGAGAAAGGTTATTCAGTGTTTATGAAGGGGCGGATGTTGCATCTCAATGACAAGCAAGGACAGCAAGTGGCTCGTGTTGAAATGGGTAAAAACAGGATGTACAAACTTAACTTGAAGGTGGCACAAGGAAAATGCTTGAATGTAGATGTTGGTAAGAAAACAACTTTGTGGCATTTCAGATTCGACCATTTACATTATGGAGGATTGAAAACCTTGGCAAAGAAAAACAAAGTACAAGGGCTGCCCGATATTGACTACAGGGATGAATTCTATGAAGTGTGTGTGCTGGGCAAACATTCAAGATCCTCATTCATCAATGATTTCTAACAAAAAACTTGGGTTTACTTTCTGAAGGATAAGACTGAAACTTTTGGAGTGTTCGTGAAGTTCAAAGCTTTTGTGGAAAAATCAACCGGAAAAGTTATCAAGTCACTAAGGTCCGATAGAGGAGGCGAGTTCAATTCAAGGGAGTTTAAAAACTACTGTGATGAACATGGGATAAGAAGATTCCTAATCGCACCCTACTTTCCTCAACAAAATGGCATTGCAGAAAGGAAGAACCGGACAATACTCAACATGGTTTGATCAATGTTGAAAAGCAAGAATTTGGTGAAAAAACTATGGGCAAAGGCTGTGCAGTGTGCGGTGTACGTGCAAAACCGTTGTCCTCACTCAAAGCTAGAAAATTCAACATCGCAAGAGGCGTGGAGTGGTAAAAAGCCAACGGTGTCACACTTCAAAGTGTTTGGTTGTATTGCGTATGCACACATTCCGGATCAGCGGAGAACAAAGCTGGAAGATAAGAGCAAAAAATATGTTTTCATTGGTTATGATGAGGAAACAAAACGATACAAGCTGCTTGATCCGACAAATGAGAAAATTATAGTGAGTCGGGATGTACAATTTGATGAATGAGCTGAGTGGGATTGGAGCAATGCAAAGGAAGAGACACAAAATGTTCGTCAAATAGAAATCCCAAAAAATATTTCAGCTCCGGAAAGTATTGATCATGAGGATGAACCAAGGCATCCAAGGTGGAGGTCGTTGCAGGATTTGTATGACTCGTTAAATGAGGTACATCTTTCTTGTCTATTGGTTGATGCTGAGAACATTAGTTTTGAAGAGGCTATGAAGGATGAGAAGTGGCGAATAACCATGGATGAGGAAATTCATGCCATTGAACGCAATAAAACCTGGGAGCTGATGGAATTGCCGAAAGGTGGACAGCCCATCGAAGTAAAATGAGTTTTCAAGAAAAAGCTGAATGCAAATGGTGAGATCGAAAGGCACAAGGCACGACTTGTGGCTAAAGGCTATAAACAAAAGGCAGGACTCGATTATGATGAAGTGTTCGCCCCAGTTGCAAGGATGGAAACAATTCGCTTGTTAATTGCGCATGCTGCCCAATTCGAATGGCCAATATTTCAATTGGACGTCAAGTCTGCATTTTTAAATGGTGTGCTTAAAGAAGATGTGTACCTCGAACAACCTCCCGGGTACATTGAAGTTGGCAGTGAGCACAAGGTGTTGAAACTAAAAAAGACACTTTCTTTATGGGCTCAAGCAAGCACCACGGGCATAGAATGCTTGTATCGACACCTATTTCAAGGAGAATGGGTTCCATCAATGTCCATTCGAGCATGCACTCTATGTGAAGAAGAACCAATGGGCTTGCTATTCGTCGCTCTCTATGTGGAGAATCTCATTTTTATGGGAAACAATGTCAAGATGATAGAGGAGTTCAAGAAAGCAATGAATCGTTAATTTGAGATGACAGATCTCGGAAAGATAAAATATTTTATTGGGTTAGAGATACAACAAAGTGAAATGGGTATTTTTGTGTCGCAGCAAGCATATGCTAAAGAAATTTTGAAAATGAGCAATATGGCGAACATCAATCCAGTGTCAACCCCGATGGAACCAGACACAGAGCTTTCTAAGTATGTAGATGAAGACCGAGTCGATGAAAGTTTGTACCGAAGTTTGGTGGGAAGTCTTCATTATCTCACTTGCACGAGGCCAGATTTGGAGATGAGTGTTGGAATTGTGAGTAGGTTCATGGAGGAACCAAGATACTCACATTGGAAGGCATTAAAGAGCATTCTACAATATATTCGTGGAACATAATCACTCGGTTGTGTATTCCAAGATGGAAGAATTTAAAATGTTGAGATATTCGGACAGCGATTGGGGGGGGGGGGAGATGTTGACGAACGGAAAAGCACAGCAGGATATGTATTCTTTACGGGAAAAACAGCTTTTGCATGGAAA